GTATCCCTTAGAGTTTCAATGTTTTTCGCCACGAGGCACCGAAACCTCAAATTTTTCTCATAAAGTGTGGATTATAACCTTCAATTTTGTAATTTTTTGACCTTTTTTTGACCGGAAATAAAAATTGTTGAGATGTTTACCATGATCCCTAATATCCTCCGGGAGTCAAATTGGGTCGGTGAAACCATCTAATATGCCCATAAACAATCATTTTACCCGTTCACAACTTGAAGTGATTTCGTAAACTCAATTTTACCACAGACGTTTATGACAACATATAATGATCATATATGGTTTCAAACGACTTTATATAACTCTGGGATGTATCCCTTAGGTCGTCGAGGCTTTTCTCCACCGGGCCCCGAAACCTTTAATTTTCCTCAAATATCGTGGATTGCCTTTAAATTTGTAATTTTTTTATCTTTTTTTGCCCGCAAATAAAAATTACCGAGATATTTTCCATGGTCCCTAATATCCTCCAGGAGTCAAATTGGGTCGGTGGAACCGTCCAATATGCCCTTAAACGGTCATTTTACCCTTTCACAACTTGATGTGATTCCGTAAACTCAAGCCTACCACGGACGTTTATGACAACATACAATGATCATATATGGTTTCGAACGGAATTATATAACCCTGAGATGTATCCCTTAGGGACTCAAGGCTTTTCGCCACCGAGCCCTGAAACCTCAAAATTCCTCAAAAAACGTGGATTATAGCCTTCAATTTTGTAAATTTTTGACCTTTTTTTGCTCGGAAATAAAAATTTCCGAGATGTATACCATGGTCCCTAATATCCTCCGAGAGTCAAATTGGTTCGGTGGAACCATCTAATATTTCCTTAAACGGTCATTTTACCCGTTCACAACTTGTAGTGATTTCGTAAACTTAAGCCTACCACGGACGTTTATGACAACATATAATATTTTGACCTTTTTTCGACCGGAAATAAAAATTTTCGAGATGTTTACCATGGTCCCTAATATCCTCCGGGAGTCAAATTGGGTCGGTGGAACCATCCAATATGCCCTTAAACGGTCATTTTACCCGTTCACAACTTGAAGTGATTTCGTCAACTCAAGTTTACCACAGACGTTTATGACAACATATAATGATCATATATGGCTTCAAACAGCTTTATATAACCCCGAGATGTATCTCTTAGGTTTTCGAGGCTTTTTGCCACCGGACCCGAAAACCTCAAATATTCCTTAAAAAGCGTGGATTATAGCCTTTTGTAATTTTTTAACCTTTTTTCGCCCGGAAATAAAAATTGTCGAGATGTTTAACATGGTCCCTAATTTAATATCCTCCGGGAGTCAAATTGGGTCGGTGGAATCGTCCAATATGCCCTTAAACGGTCATTTTACCTGTTCACAACTTGTTGTGATTCCGTAAACTCAAGCCTACCACGGACGTTTATGACAACATGTAATGATCATATATGGTTTCAAACGGAATTATATAACCCCGAGATGTATCCCTTAGGGTTTCAGAGTTTTTCTCCACCGGGCCCTGAAACCTCAAAATTTTTTCAAAAAGCGTGGATTATAACCTTCAATTTTGTAATTTTTTGACCTTTTTTCGACCAGAAATAAAAATTGTCGAGATGTTTACTATGGTCTTTAATATCCTCCGAGAGTCAAATTGGGTCGATGGAACCATCCAATATGCCCTTAAACGGTCATTTTACTCGTTCACAACTTAAAGTGATTTCGTAAACTCAAGCCTACCACGGACGTTTATGACAACATCTATTGATCATATATGGTTTCAAACGGCATTATATAACCCTGAGATGTATCTCTTAGGGTCTCAAGGCTTTTCGCCACTGGACCTTAAAACCTCAAAATTTCCATAGCCTTCAATATTGTAATTTTTTGACCTTTTTTCGATCGGAAATAAATTTTTTTGAGAAGCTTACCATGGTTCGTAATACCTTTCAAGTGTCTAATTGGGTCGATTGAACCATCCAATATGCCCTTAAACGGTCATTATACATATTCGCAACTTGCACCGATTTTGTAAACTCAAGCCTACTATGGACGTTTATGACAACATATAATAATCATATATGATTTCAAACGACATTATATGACCCCGAGATTTATCACTTAGGGTCTCAAGGCTTTTCGCCACAGGCCCTAAACCTTAATATTTCTATAAAAAAAAAAACGTGGATTATAAGCCTTCAATTTTGTAATTTTTGACTTTTTTTCGCCCGGTAATAAAAATTGTCAAGATGTTTACCATGGTCCCTAATAGACTCTGGGAGTCCAATTGGGTCGGTGGAACCATCCAATATGCCCTTAAACGGTCATTTTACCCGTTCACAACTTGTAGTGATTTCGTAAACTCAAGCCTACCACTTACGTTTATGACAATATATAATGATTATATATGGTTTCAAACGACATTATTTGACCCTGAGATATATACCCTAGGGTTTCAACACTTTTCACTACCGGGCCTCGAAACCTCAAAATTTTCTCAAAAAGCGTGGATTATTATAACCTTCAATTTTGTAATTTTTTGACCATTTTTTCGTCCGGAAATAAAAATTGCCAAGATGTTTATTATGGTCTCTAATACTCTCCACGAGTCCAATTGGGTCGGTGGAACCGTCCAATATTCCTTTAAACAGTCATTTTATCGTTCACAACTTGAAGTGAATTCATAAACTCAAGCCTACCACAGACGTTTATGACAACATGTAATGATCATATATGGTTTCAAACGGCATTATATGATACCTAGATATGTCCCCTACGGTCTCAACACTTTTCTCCACCGGATCCTTAAATCTCAAAATTTCCTCAAAAAGCGTGGATTATAGTCTTCGATTTTGTAATTTTTTGACCTCTTTTCACCCAAATATAAAAATTGCCGAGATTTTTACCATGGTCCCTAATACCCTTTGGGATTCCAATTGGGTCGGTGGAACTATCCAATATGTCCTGAAACGATCATTTACCCGTTCGCAACTTACATCGATTTTGTAAACTCAAGCCTACTACGGACGTTTATGACACAATATAATGATCATATATGGTTTCAAACGAAATTATATGACCCCGAGATGTATCCTTTAGGGTCTCAAGGCTTTTCGCTACCGGGCACCTAAACCTCAAAATTTCCTCAAAAAGCTTGGATTGTAGCCTTTAGTTTTGTAAATTTTTTACCTTTTTTCGCCCGAAAATAAAAATTCCCGATATGTTTACCATGGTCCCTAATACCCACCGGGTGTCCAATTGGGTTGGTGGAACCATCCAATATGCCCTTAAACGGTCATTTTACCCATTCACAACTTGCATTGATTTCGTAAACTCAAGCCTACTACGTACGTTTATGATAACATATAATGATCATATATGGTTTCAAAAGACATTATATGACCCCGAGGTATATCCCCAGGGTCTCAACACCTTTTTCCACCGGGCCCCGAATCCTCAAAATTTCCTCAAAAAGTGTGGATTATATCTAGAGCTGTAAAAAACTGACCCGACCCGAGAACCCGACCTTAACGGAAAATGATCTGAACCCAGCCTGTACTCGAACAATGAGGTGAAACTAATGACATGTAACTTGACTTGATCTTAACCGAAATCCCATTTGATCCAATACTTTATGGTCTGAACTCGAACATGTCCCCAACCTGATAGTAACCATCAACCGATTTAATCCAACCCGAAAATAATCCGAACTTGAACTAGTACCCGACCCAATTAAACCATGAACCCGAGTCATGGAAGGTTTAATAAAATTTTGATATACCTTTTATTCAGCTTATATACTGGTATAATTCTGTAAACCTTCAATCCGATTTAATAAAATATTTTGTTCAGCTTATATAACTTTTGTTCTCTATTACTCGTATATAAGTTTAATAAAATATTGATGATGCTTGATCAAATTATAGAAGGCGTAATTATATAGTTCAACTTGGCTACATCGATATTTATTAGAATTGAACTTGAACTAGAACCTGACTCAACACTAACCCGAACCCGAATGTACCATCTTGTTAACCCATCCAAACCTGACTCAACACAACCTGAACCTGAAATTGAACCCGATCTGATTTTAACTCGATTGAACCTGATCCATATCCGATTAGGTGAACGACCCGTTATTACTTGAACTGAAATTGACCCAACGTGAACCTGAACCTGATCTGAAGCTAGATTGACTCGACATAACCCGATCCCGATTTAACCCGAGACCTAATTTGACCCGAGCCAAACCCGATTTGAATATCCGAATTGACAGCTCTAGTTTGGGCCCATTTGGATAGACAATGCAAAACCCCAACCAGCCATCTTGGTCTATGTCATCAAGACAATTTGAAATGGACTTGTTAGGAAATGAGTACTGAACTACTCTTTCCTTAATTTTTTTTTAAGATGTTGCACTTAGTTTTAGACAATCATAAATTCTCAAGAAAGACGGAAGTACGTTAATTTATTGTAAGACTACGGGTTAAAGTTATCTTAGAGCATTGCCACTAATGGGCATTTTTTTGGTTGCCCCATCTCTCTCTAACCACTTTCTCACTCCTCCTCCCAATGGGCATTTTCTTGGTCATTTTTATTCTAAACCAATGGTCAAAAGTTATAATCCCCACCACTCTCTCCTACTTTTAACCCTATACCCCACCAATATTTATCTCTCCTACACATCATTAAATTTGTAATTTAGTATTTCTTAATTTTATTGTTAACAAAATTTTGTATTGATTAAATTATTTATGAGTAGTACAATATTAATTATTTTTAATATTAATTTATGAAAAATGTATTTTTTAATAAAATAATAATATTTATTCTTAACTAAATTTTTTTATTGATTAAATTATTTATGAGTACAATATTAATTATTTGTGTCATTATTTTATGCGAAATTTCATTTTTCATTAGTACAACATTAACGATTACAACATTGGAACATAATGATCGTACACCAATCATACAAACCAAATAAATTAACGATTACAAAACTATTTATTCATTACGACCGTATTTTTGCCAAATATGCTCAACTAAATCATCTTTCAAAGAAAAATGGGTTTGGCTATCACGCAGGGTAATTCTTCTTTGAATATAAACGTCAAAATCAACGTTTGGTGGTCGGCCAACGTCAAATTCGAAAGGCTCGTTGTTATTCACTGTGGCACTTGTACTCAGACCGAACCTTGCTCTATGAAGCTGAGGGCGATCTTCTTCATAATACCTTCTCAAAACTTCGGCACGAGTGTAATTGTGTCGTTCATCCTCGACAATCATGTTGTGCATAATGATACAAGCTTTCATTATGTCGCTCAAAATGTCTTCGTCGAAAGCAAGTGAGGGTTGTCGTAATATGGCAAACCTAGCCTGTAGAACTCCAAACGCATGTTTAACGTCTTTCCGAGCTGCAGCTTGTTTATCTGCAAATAACTTGTCCTTCTGGAGTTGAGGATATGTGATACCTTCTATAAATGTTGCCCAGTTCGGATATATACCATCTGTTAAGTAGTATCCCATGTTGTACTCATGGCTGTTTACCATAAAACTAATTGGTGGTGCCCGACCTTTCAAAACATCGTCAAACACCGGAGAGCGGTATAGGACGTTAAGATCATTACAAGAGCCGGGTATTCCAAAAAATGCATGCCAAATCCATAAATCTTGATCCGCAACAGCTTCAAGGATAAGGGTTACATTCTTGCTACGACCTGCGTATTGTGCTTTCCAAGCCATAGGACAGTTCTTCCACTCCCAGTGCATGCAGTCGATGCTACCGATCATGCCCGGGAATCCACGCATTTCATTTTGGTGAAGGATTCTCCTTAAATCTTCATCTGTTGGACTTCTTAAGTACTCGGCCTCAAAATGCTTGATCACCCCTTGAGTAAAATGTTGCATTGATTTTCTAGATGTTGTTTGACCCATGCGTATGTATTCATCTACGGCATCCGGAGCAACACCGTACGCTAACATTCTTATTGCAGCGGTGCATTTCTGCAGAGGTGATAAGCCAAGCCTACCAGCTGCATTCCTACGCTGCTGGAAGAACGGATCGCCCTCAACCACTTTATTCATAATCCGACAGAATAAAGGTTTGTGCATTCGAAATCGACGACGAAACTGATTTTCGGAATACACAGGATTTATTGCGAAGTAATCATTGTACAATTGCAAATGCCCTTTCTCCCTTTCTCTATCTCCCCTATGCTGCGGGACTGTTTCATCTTCATTTACAATTTCGATCTGGATGGAGGTGGTTGAGGAAGCATTATGTTAGGTAAGTGATTTGTGACAAATTCGTCAACTAGATTATCAAATTCCTCATATTAATCTGAATCAGAAGAATTTGAGCTTGAGGTTGAGCTTATGGAAAACATTTTCTGTGTTTGGTTTTTGAATGTTTTGGTGTTGTGGATCAATTTATGGATTTCACACCTTTAAATAGGAAATGTTATCAGTGCATGTCCTTCAAATGAGTGTGAACTGACTACTCAATGTATAGTAAAAACAAAATACATGACTACTCAATTCTTAATAATCAATACCAATGCTTGTCATACGGTTGAAGTTATGTATGAAATGACTACTCAATGCTTGTATAAAACAAAAACTACAATTGGACTTGACTACTTTTTGGGATTTGACAGTTCAATGGTTGATAAAACCAACCACTTGACTCATAATTGTATAAGACAAAATCTACACACACTAACTAGTACTTCACTCATAATTGAACAAAATATATGAAAATGTAATATAATTTGATTAATTTTTGGAACATAATTAATAATAAAAATTAATTCATTGCAACATAAAATAAACAAAATACTTGAAATCATAATGCATAATAAACTACTCTACTTTCCACCATACACTTCTTGAATTAGTTCCTCCTTCCACGCTTCTTCAGCTGGTGTAAGTGGCGTCGTTTTTGACATAATTGCTTGCAACATATCAAATTTCATCTTCTTCTCTTGTAATTCGACCTGTTTGTTTTTCCTCTTTTTTCTTTTCCCTTTCAAGCTCCAACCTTTGCTGCCGTAAATTTGCCTCAAAGCTTCTAACTTCAGTACAAGCCTGTATCTGTTCACCAATACTTAAAATTGCACTATAATGAGCAATAGCTTTTCCCTTACGCTTAGCCTTTGCTTTTTTTACCCCGTCGGGTTTGGGTATACCTCCTAATGAAAACCCACCAACGGGAACATCTCCTTCAGATTCACTGTCAGTTCTCGATCTCTTTCCACTTCCACTGCTATCCTCGGTGTCCCCTTCCGGACGCAGTTGACAATCCTGTTGTTCCTTTAGTGACAATGCCCATCTGAGTTTCGGCCTCCACTTTGGGTCATTCTTTATCATTTCCCAAGCGTGGGGAAAAACAAAATTGTGTGGTGGTTTGGCTGATATATGGAACAACTTCGAGGCCTTTTGAATTCGATCAACTTTGTTGAATCCACTTCCAGTTAACGGACCCGCTTCATCATAACAACTTGTCCATAACAGTACATCTGCCACCATCCTTCTCCAACGGTTCTCCAAACTCTTCGCATTTCTGGGTGGTAGTATTTCTAGCTTCTTAGCTTGAACCATGTCGTACGCCGCAGATATTTGTCGCCAAAGTTCAGCTGCTTTCATGCCCGTACCCACTATCGCATTTCCACTGTAATTTAAATATAGCCCAATAAGAGCTTCATCTTCTGCGACTGACCAAATACGACTAGCTTTAGCGAGTTGTTGGTTGGAACCCACCCGCATTCTTTGAGTCGACGGAGGGTATTGAGGTGTCTCAGGCACATTTTCTTCTTGGCTATCATCGTACTAAGAGTTACTTCCTTGGTAGACAGGAGGTGATTGCTCGTAATCAGTGTTTTCAGTTGGAATTTGTGGAGGTATTTCAAGTTGTGGAGGTATTTGTTGTTGTGGAGGATTTTGCAGAGAGGTGTTGCTCAATCTTTGTAGGAAAAGTTGAAATTGAGGTTGATTCATGAAATTCTCATCTAAATCATTACAATTTTGAGAAAGTATTGAGTAAAAGGGGTTATTGGGATCCATATCTATTTTTTTTTTATTAATTTCAAAAACTAACACAATAATAACAATAATAATAATAATAACTATTATAAAAATAATAATAATAATAATAATAATAATAATAATATTAATAACAAAAATAATAACGAACAACAATAATAATATTAATAAGCTAAAATAATAACAATAATAATTATACTTCCAATAATAATAATAATAATAATATTTATTTTAATATTAATAATAATAATAATAATAATAATAATAATAATAATATTAATACTCATATTAAAAGGATGACTAATTATGAGGGAGAAATTGAGAGAAAATGTAAATACAACAAATTTATGTGAATTTTGGAAATATGAAAATATAGGCAAAATGGGTCTCTATTTGTAGAGAATTTTTTTTTCTACCCGTTGGTAATTTTTTTTTTTTAAAAAAATTTTATAAGCACAAAATACCCGTTACAAAATTGTTACCGTTGCAATAATCAGGAATTTCCTGATTGGTCCAACTCACCTGACAGGACGCGTGTCAGCGCCTGATTGGGCGTGCTGACGCGCCTGTCAGGGCTGCAAATATAATTTTTTTTTTGCTTGTCCTACCCTCAAAACGCAGCGTTTTGAGGTGAAGCAAAGCACACGCTTCCTCAAAACGCAGCGTTTTGAGGTAAGCTGAGCAAAAAAAAAATTAAAATGCAGCTATGCACGTGGGGCCCAGTTCTTCTTGGTCAGATTTTAATTTTGCCCAAAGTTTGATCAAAAATTGATTTGCCCATGGGCATTTTTAATTTAGACCATTGATGGGGAGTTATTTTTTTTTATTAAACCCCAAAAACTACCCATGGGCATTTTTCTCCCCATTGGTGGCAATGCTCTTAAAAGTATTTAAAGTTACCCTATATACGTAGTACTATAAAAGTTATTATTCTTTTTTTTAATATATAAACTTTATCTTATAAAAAACTTACAATGTATAAGATTAATCCTTTAGTATATATCACGAATCTATAAGAAATCAAGATCATATACGATCATACGATTCATACCCAACAAATCAAGTTACTTATTCAAACTACTGAGGCTGAAAAGATTTGGATGGAAAGACAAGATTGTTTTAACATGTTCACTGACTTCTCATCCAGTCAAGATCTAATTACTAGTACAGTATGATTTAGGCCAGTAACAAAAATATTAGGCCAGTACTTAAAACCAAACTGATTTCACCACAAAATTCCATAAATTCAAGCATAATTATTAATTAAGCTTCACAACCTTGAGCATTTGCGCATTACTTAGAAATTTCAGTTTTTACAGCCCTATTATTTTAGCATTTTGATAAGAATGCAAGACAACACTATACAGCTTATATAATCTGATTGTTAGCTTAGGTTTCAAATGTATGTATGACTTCCACTTCCTTATTGATATATAATTTTTGCATTGCATCCCAAATTTGGATCTAATTCAACAACAGAAAAAATTCAACAACAGACATAATTCGTCATGAGGAACAAGTAAGTGTGCGGAATTAAATTAAAGTAATATACTGGGAGTAACCTTAACATATTGCAATTTAAAAATGAGGGCGCTCTACCCACAAGGGAGGAGTAATATCACAGAATTGTGAAGGACCTTCATAAAATCGTTCAATGACTTTTCTTTCCTTCAAGCTGTAAATACCCATATCGCTTCCTCCATTGCATACACTCGTACTACGAAATGTTTCGATATAAACATCGGTAAAATATATGCAATCAGCTTTACAACCATGTTTATACGATGATGCATCTACAGAGAAAGTAGAGTTAAAACCCAAGAATATAGCATGCTCACCCACACCCTTGACTTGTTTGAATTTTCCATCGTTCACATTCAACTGGAGTATGTCAAATGAATCGGTGTAATACTTGTCTTCATCCTCTTCTCCAACATCACCCATGTAAATCTTCCTCAGTATTACCAACAAAGTGTTTTCTACTTCTACCAAGTATGGAATGACATCTAGGTGGCTATCAAGGTCATCACTTCGAAGCGAAACATCAACAACAACTCTAGGTTGTCGTTTCATTACCTCACTTCCAAATGCCATTACCTTTCCGTACAAATCTATGGCATAGAATTCTTCTTTAAAGTAACAGACATCGAACACTTGATTAATAAAAAAATGCGCGTCAGGTATACTCCACTCGGCATGCCCAGGTCTCCAAAAGGCCAACCTTTGGGTTTTGTCGAACATTGTTGCAACAGCAAAATCATCACCAGAAGACGACGGCCTAGATGATATGATGAATTTGTAATACACAAATAAAGATGTAACCTCATCCACTAATTCAATTTCATCAAAATGCAATACCTTTGGAAGAATATTCGGTAGCTTGATCACTTTATTAGAGAAAGGATCAAAAAGGGTGATGTTTTTATTACTGAGACTAGAAGAAATAAGCCACCCTTTCGAAGCGAAAAACATCCATCGGTCATCATGATGCTCAGGCAGATTGATATTACGGAACATGTGTTTGGAGAGACTGTAAAGTCTGCGGTGTGAATTATTGGGAGGGTCGGCTAACATCAACCAAGGAAGTTGGGTGTTTTTATATGGACAGAAGTTGTTGATATCCTTTATTGAATTTCTCCAACTTGAACAGACCAACCCAAAAGCATCAAAATCTTCTAAACTTTCAAGATGCTCCATTGCAATTTTCCTAATAATTTCTTCAGGAATTTCACTCCAATTTACCATGCTTGCTGTAGCCTTCAAAAGGGAATAATAATACAATCAATCAGAAAAAACAATTGCTTTAAAAAAATATAGGCAGTATGTGGGAGAGTTTTATATGGTTTGGGTTAACTTTTTGTAAGCTATATTATTACAAAGAAGCAATTCAACTCACAAATTGATTGCAAATCACAATTCATATTCAATAAACAAATTGATTACAACCCAAAATTAGAATTCAATCAGCAAACTAAATTCAAAAAAAAATTAATATGAGTCTTCTCAATCAAATACGAATTCAATTTGTTGGCAGATAATTAAGAAACATAAAAAAAACAAAAAATGGTTATTAAATAACCATGCATTACCATTGAAAATTAAAGGTGTTTCCAAATATAGGGAAAAATAACTAATGGTAATAAATATTGCAGGCTAAATTTTAAATGGCTTAGGTTGTTTTAGGAAAACTATAAATTGAGCATTTCCTTCATTTGTATGTAATAATTTCAATAGAAAATCTGAGAGAAGAAAAATAACTCAGAGAAAAGAGGGGTTGTGTTTTTGCACTTTGGTATAAATAGACATTTTGTTTATGTAATTTATTTCTCCCTCAAATATGATTAAATAGAAAATTTGCATTATTTTCTTAACAATTGGTATCAAGAGCTTGGTTGACAATTAGTCCACATTACGATAAAAATAAAAACGATCCTAAAAGAAAAAGTCAAATTTGAGTGGGAGAAATGGCTGCAGACAAAGGAGAAGTTAAACTTGAAAAATTCGATGGTAAAGATTTCGGATTTTGAAAAATGCATATTGAAGATTATTTATACCAGAAAAAACTCTATCAACCTTTGGAAGAGAAAAAGCCAGATGGCATGCAAGAAGCAGAATGGAAGTTTTTAGATAGACAAGCACTCAGAGTTATTCGATTGACGTTATCACGCAATGTGGCGTTTAACATTGCAAAGGAAACCACAACGGCAGGTCTCATGAAAGCTCTCTCTAATATGTATGAGAAGCCATCAGCCTCCAATAAAGTTCATTTGATGAGGCGGTTGTTTAGTTTGAGGATGTCGGAAGGTGGATCGGTAGCTCAACACCTTAATGAACTCAATTCTGTCACAACCCAATTGAGTTCTGTTGAAATCAAATTTGATGATGAAGTATTAGCGTTAATACTTTTATCTTCCCTGCCAGATAGTTGGAATGCTACAGTCACAGCTGTGAGTAGCTCATCGGGAAATAACAAGTTGAAGTTTGATGACGTTCGTGATCTGGTTCTTAGTGAGGAGATTCGACGAAGAGAATCAGGTGAATCTTCATCCTCTTCAGTATTGCATACAGAGTCAAGAGGAAGAAATTTAATCAGAAGGAATGAACGCGGAAGATCAAACTATCGAGGACAATCCAGAGATAGGAGGTCAAAATCCAGGAATCCAAATAATTTCCAAAACTCAAAGACTGTGGAGTGTTGGAATTGTGGAAAGATTGGGCACTATAAAAATCAGTGCAAGGGAACACCAAAAGGCAAAGAAGTGAAGGCAGAGGCAAATGTCACTTCTACCGGAGAAGGTGATGATGCGTTGATATGCTCATTGGAGAGCAAAGAAGAGTCTTGGGTATTAGACTCTGGAGCATCGTTCCATGCTACTTCTAATAAAAACTTTTTTGAGAAGTATGTCCATAGAAACCTTGGACAGATATACCTTGGTGATGACCACCTTGTGATATTGTTGGTCAAGGTAATGTCAAAATTAAGTTAAATGGGTCAGCTTGGGAGCTGAAGGATGTCAAACATGTTCTCGACCTAAGAAAGAACTTGATCTCAGTTGGGCAGTTGGCTCGTGAAGGTTACACTATAATCTTTCAAGGTGATAATTGGAAGATTTCAAAGGGAGCAATAATAGTTTCTCATGGTAAAAAGAATGGTACTCTCTATTTGACAGCTGGAGCGTGTTATTCGATTGCAGTTGCAACAGAGAATGAAAATTCCAAGTTATGGCACCAAAGACTTGGTCACATGAGTGAGAAAGGAATGAAGATCATGCATTCAATTGGAAAACTCCCTAGTCTAAAATCTGTGAATTTAGACATGTGTGAAGAATGCATACTTGGAAAACAGAAGAGGGTAAGCTTTCAGACATATGGAAGAACTACAATGAAAGAAAAATTGGAGCTTGTTCATTCTGATGTGTGGGGACCAACAACCACCCAGTCTATAGGTGGAAAACAGTACTTTGTGACTTTTATTGATGATCACTCTAGGAAAGTATGGGTTTACTTTCTAAAATACAAGTCCGAAGTGTTTGAAGTTTTCAGGATATAGAAAGCTAGGGTTGAAAATGAAACAGGTATGAAGATCAAAAGATTCAGGTCCGACAATGGCGGAGAATATGAGGACACCAAATTCAAGAAGTTTTGCTACGAGCATGGTATTAAGATGGAAAGAACTGTGCCAGGTACACCTCAGCATAATGGCATAGCTGAGCGGATGAACCGAACATTGACAGAAAGAGCCAGAAGCATTCGTATACAGTCAGATCTACCAAAACAATTCTGGCAGAAGCAGTCAATACAGCATCTTACTTGATCAATCGAGGACCATCAACCCCATTGGAGTACAAATTACCAGAGGAGGTATGGAGCGGCAAAGAGATCAAATTGTCGCATTTAAAGGTATTTGGTTGTGTAGCTTATGTGCACATTAGTGATCAAGGCAGAAATAAGCTTGATCCTAAATCAAAAGTTTGCACTTTTATCGGTTATGGCGAAGATGAGTTCGGATACCGCATTTGGGATGATGAAAGCAAAAAGATTATTCGTTCAAGAGATGTAATTTTCAATGAGAGAGTCATGTACAAAGATAGGCATAAAATTGAGAGTTATGAAACAAATCAAAAAGAATCTACATTCATTGATGAAGATTATGTCCCAGACAGTACGATGCAAGAGTACACTATCATAAGTACTCCGCAACAAGAAGAACAAACTGTACAGGGCAGTACATCGCAATCAAATGACATACAACAACCTTCTTGTCCAACTCCTACACTAAGAAGGAGTACTCGACCACATGTGCCTAATAGAAAATATATGAATTATTTGTTATTAACTGATGATGGGGAACCAGAAGATTATTATGAAGCATCCCAGACCAGAGATGCTAGCAAGTGGGGGCTTGCAATGAAAGATGAAATGCAATCCCTGATTTCAAACCAGACATGGGAACTAACTGAGTTACCCATAGGTAAGAAGGCCCTTCATAACAAATGGATATATCGAGCAAAAAAGGAGCACGATGATTCCAAGAGGTATAAGGCTCGACTAGTTGTCAAAGGTTTTCAACAGAAAGAGGGAGTTGATTATAATGAGATATTCGCTCCTGTTGTGAAACTCAATACCATTAGAACAGTGTTGAGTATTGTTGCAATTGAAGATCTTTATCTCGAGCAGTTAGATGTGAAGACTGCATTTCTTCATGGAGATCTTGATGAAGAAATATACATGCATCAGCCAGAAGGTTTTATAAAAAGTGGGAAAGAGCAGATGGTATGCAAACTTAAGAAAAGTTTATACGGGCTAAAACAAGCCCCAAGACAATGGTACTAAAAGTTTGATAACTTCATGCACAAGGAAGATTTCCAAAAGTGCAACGCTGACCACTGTTGCTACTTCAAGAGATATCAATCCAGTTATATCATCCTATTACTTTATGTTGATGATATGTTAATAGATATGAATGATATTATAAAGTTTAAGCATCAATTGTCAAAGGAATTTGACATGAAGGACTTGGGTCCAGCAAAGAAGATTTTAGGAATGCAAATCACAAGAGATAAGCAGAAAGGCACTTTACAGTTATCACAATCAGAGTACATCAAACGTGTTCTTCAGAGATTTAATATGGGTGATGCTAAGCCTGTTAGTACACCGTTGGCGAGTCATTTTCGTCTATCAAAGGATCAGTCCCCTCAGACAGATGAAGATAAAGAATATATGGCCAAGGTTCCTTATGCCTCGGCTATTGGAAGTTTGATGTATGCAATGGTTTGTACAAGACCAGATATTGGACATGCAGTGGGAGTTGTAAGCAGGTTTATGTCCAATCCAGGAAAAGTCCATTGGGAAGCTGTTAAATGGATTTTGAGGTATTTACGAGGTACAATTAATAAGTGTTTGTACTTTGATAAAGGTGAATTGAAAATACAAGGTTACGTTGATGCAGACTTTGGCGGTGAAGTCGATAATAGAAAGAGCACAACGGGTTATGTATTTACAGTTGGAAATACAGCCATAAGTTGGATGTCCCAACTACAAAAGATTGTTGTTTTATCCACTACAGAAGCTGAGTATGTGGCAGTGACCGAAGCTAGTAAAGAGATGATATGGCTTCAAGGTTTGTTAGATGAGCTGGGGTTCAAACAAGTGAATAATATTTTGTATAGCGATAGTCAGAGTGTTATACATTTAGCAAAGAATTCGGCGTTTCACTCAAGAATAAGGCACATCGGTATTCGTTATCACTTTATCAGGTCTCTTCTAGAAGATGAAGTGTTAACTCTTAAAAAGATTCTTGGCAGTAAGAATCCAGTGACGATTGACAAGTTGAAATTGTGCTCAACATCAATTGGTCTTAAAATGACAGAAGACTAGTTGAGGTTCTACTCCTTGGTGTAAAGACAGATTGAAATCAGTCTTCAAGTGGGAGATTGTTGGCAGATAATTAAGAAACATAAAAAAAAAAAAATGGTTATTAAATAACCATGCATTACCATTGAAAATTAAAGGTGTTTCCAAATATAGGGAAAAATAACTAATGGTAATAAATATTGCAGGCTAAATTTTAAATGGCTTAGGTTGTTTTAGGAAAACTATAAATTGAGCATTTCCTTCATTTGTATGTAATAATTTCAAGAGAAAATCTGAGAGAAGAAAAATAACTCAGAGAAAAGAGGGGTTGTGTTTTTGCACTTTGGTATAAATAGACATTTTGTTTATGTAATTTATTTCTCCCTCAAATTTGATTAAATAGAAAATTTGCATTATTTTCTTAACACAATTATCATCCATGCTTGCCGTTGCATTCAAAAAGGAAAATAATTTTATTATTTACAATCAATTAAAACAATTAATTGCTTTAAAATTTAAAAATCAGTGGCAATTTCAAGATTATACCACCTTTTTTTTTTTTTTCAATCCGTTTAAATGTTTAATTAGGAGTCCTTCACATATCGGAAACATTGCATTATCATTTAAACATGAATTCAACAAACAAAGTGATATAGAATCACTTATACATATTCAATCAACAAATTTATTGCAAATCACAATTTAAATTCATAAATCATATTGATTTCAACTCAGAAATAAAAATTCAATCAGCAAACTAAATTCAAATCGACAAAATGCAAGTAACAATTTAATTTTAAATCACAAATACAATTCAATTAAGAAACAGGATTCAAATCAACTAAAAATTCAATTAACAAGTGGGAATACAAATTCAATCAACAACTTGTTATCAGGAATTAATGTTAATTTAGAGGTAAATATTAAACTCTTTTCAATCAAATACGATTTCACCTTCCCCTCAAAAAAAATACGATTTCACCTTTTGCCTCAAAAAAAAAAAAACGATTTCACTTCACAACAACCAATCAAAAAAATAAGAGTAATTTAGAATCACAAATACAAATTAAATCAACAAAATTGAATTTGCATCCAAAAATATATACAATTATACATATAGGAAAAAAATAAAAGCAAAAAATAACTTCAGAACTCAAGAACTCGGAGGCTTACAGTACAAGAGTTGAAACAAGACCAGAACTCACGAACTCGGACTGTCGGGGGCTTGCAGCAGATTTTAAAGATTGAATTTTTAAAACCAAATTCTTTTTTTGTTTATTATAATACCTATTTTTCCTAAAATAAATCATTAATAAACCTTATACTAGTACATTCCTATACAATATATATCTTTTTTTTTTTTTTTTTTTGAAACAAATACTTTTTTGAATTTTATTATTTGAACTTTAAATTATTTTTTAAAGTACAAATTTTTGTATGCGGTTAGCCACGTGGTGCGGCAGGGGTTACTTGTAGGGTGTTATTAGATTTGTCAGGGGTTACTTGTATTTTCATTATTTACAGGAAATTTAGAAACTATTGGTACATGTCTCTTTGGCTTTGAGTTAGAAGAGTTCTAGCAAGAGAAAGATTGTGTGCTTTAAAATATTTTTAATGTTAGAATTAAATTAGATACTTCGTATTCTCATTAGATTGAACAAAGTTGGAAGTTGCTGATAATGCTAAATATTACAAATTTTATAGCATAGATATGATACTTTTCCAAGAATAAGAGAAAATGTGATACAATTATTACAGTAACAATTTAAGATCTCAAAATTTGTTTTGAGAACAACAAATTGGGATTTTTTTTTTAAAAGAAAATAAAACTGCATCATCTTGTAATAATCATCCATGATCATTGATCTTTATTAATGATTGTCAAGCTCATTTTTTCCCTTGGCTCTCTAATCTGTCTCTTAATATCCTTACTCCCATGTACCTGCAATGTTAACATATCATTAGTATACTACTCTTAATAACATGATGATATTATTTGTATGTAATTAGTGAATTAATATTAAATTACCTTCCAAGCATCATAACAGTAGCCTGAGGATTAGTCCCAGGGGAGTAATAAAAGGTTGATCCATCAATCACTCGTAATGAATCAATTCCGATAACCTTATAATCCGAATCCACTACTCTTCCAACCAGACAACCTCCATGGTAATGCCAGATAGTCATGACTGTGTCCTTGCAGAACTGCTCGAGCGAGGTTGATACGTTGGCGTGGTGAGGCAGCAAGTTTACAGGGGTGCTAGCAGTCATATTGAGGAGTGTATGAACTGATATACCTTGATACTTGAACTTAGAAAATGGTTGAGATTCTATTACTTTTTCAATGGTTTGGAGCCCTTGCACACACCTTTGTAGGTCCTCGGGTTCTTGGAAGTAGTTGAAGGTTACTGATGGGTTGTCGTTTGGGTTGAGACTTTGAAGCTCGAGGTGACCTGTTGATATTGGACCCATTATTTTTTCGAGTATGAACCCGCCTTGGAAGGCTATGTCTGGTAGGTTGGACATTTGCTCTATGGCCTCGGCTAATGCCTCTGGGGTTCTTTGCTTTGGTGGTACTACTGATAGTTGACCAATCTGTAAAATGTAACACGTCATAATAACAATGTTAGGTAAAACTTGATTAGTTTTTGTATTTAGATATAGAATATATCGCGTACCTTTGGAGAGAGCATGCCAAAGTCTCTAGGATGGGTGTTGCTGCCACCAAAGTTCTCGCCGCTAGCAGCCTCAATGTAGCTGCCAAAGGGGGTGATGCCAACGACTTGGATGAGGGAGACCTCCACAGGAAGAGGAGAAGGGATGTAAATTGCATTCATTGGATTGTCTCTCATACCCTGCCCAACCATGGGCTGATCCAAAACTAGGCTAATATTGTAGGACTTAAGATGATCTGCTGGGCCAACTCCACTAAGCATTAGCAATTGTGGACTTCCTAATGCTCCAGCTGAAATTATAACTTCACTTTTAGACCCGGACTTTAAGTAGGCCGTGTGTCGTACCCCTTGTGCATCCACAAATCGCACCCCGTGGGCTTGTGGCCTCGCCACCCCTATCCATCCATCGTTAAAATATTTTGTCGAGAAAATACATTTAGGAATTACATACTAAAAATAAATAACTATGTTCTTAAATTAGCACATTGACAAGCGTGAAAAAAAATGACATTATATTTCGTACCTTTTGTTTTAAACAAGATCTTGTGGACAGTAGCATGTAAGAGCACATTAATTCCTTGGGGATTGGCATAGCCCAACAAATTAGCCGCAGTATGCCTATTACCATCTCTATCAAAGATGGTCCCACCAACTTTAGTCCCATTAATATGATCATAAGTGAACCCATTATTAGGGACTATTCCAGCTTGTAGTAGACCATCCCTAACGGCTGTTTGCCATTCCCTCATTGGGGGCTCAAACGCCACCACGTCCTCAACCCAGTGGTACGACTCGTTTACAAGACGTGAGTCCCACCCCACGTCTCGTACATAGCCGGGTCCTGCACGGGTGTAGAACCCGGCATTGAGGCAGGACCCGCCCCCTAGGACACGGGCCCTTGCATTAATAACCCCGTCCTCAGATATAAATCGTTGGGACGGGGAAGTTGGGGAGAGGTCCGAGAGGGCGGACCCAAATGAGGAGAGTAGGGTTATGTTCGAGTTTCCATACGGTGAGCCCCCTCGCTCTAGGAGTAACACGGTCGCGTTATGAGATAACGTTGCAGCTAAGGGACACCCGGCCGTCCCGCCCCCAACAATTATGTAGTCGTAATAGGAGGTTGTTGGTGCTGTTGTTGCATTATGGACAAAGCTATAGTTGGGAGCTGCCACCAAAATCACGTCCAAAAAAATTTAAAATGTCAATAAGATGTTGCATTTGGGTTCATAATGTTTAGCGTTACATGATTACACCATTTTATATTTATATGTACATGTATAATGAATTAGACTAATTCTGCCTCTTGCTATAAAAAAAATATAAAATAAAAATAAAAAAAAGGTAACATGATTCCTTTGAAAAGCTTGGATATCATTTAATGCTATTACTAGTTTTACATTATGCAAAGAACCTTACTAAAGTCGTTCTAAATCTTCTAACTGCTTTTGGCTACACTAATTACAAATTAAAAGGCTAGTATACTTATGTAAAGTGGTTGAGTTCTTCATTATAAAAGACAATATGTTTCAAAAAAAGTTGCAATGTCAACTAAATTTTAAATGGTGTACGCTTGTTTATAGGTCATACTCGTGCAAATGGGAGAGAGGAGCATTAAGGCAACCTTCAAGACTGTACTAATACTTATAGTAGAGTATTATTGTGTTTTACAATTTAAGTTTGGTCATCCATATATGGAATCTAAGGTTCAAATCTCAATTAAATCTGTATAGCTTCGTGTGTTAGACTAACTTTTTATTACTTTGTACTCAATATATGTATTAATAAAACTTAATACAATGTAAAAAAAATTGATTTTGTGTACTAATGTACTCTATGTACAAGTAGAAAAGATAAACGGGTAATATTTAGAATTTCCCAATATAAATGGTAAATCTTGATCTTGTTAAGAAAAAGGAAAAAAAAAGAGTAAAGTTCAATTTGTGGAGTATAATCTTCCTAATTGACCTAATCCACATTATTAAAATTAAAAAATTAAAAAATAAGATAAGTCAATAAGCACGTACTTTAATTATATTAAGCTCCTTTAACACTTCAACTAAAGTGAAACCCTTATTATTAATTAGAGAATTAGTTTACTACTTCATCTTTACAGTTAGTTCCTAAATTGACGGGGATTATCTTATATAGAAACAGAGAGAATAAACAGACTATAACGTGCATGCATGTACATTCAAAAAGCTAGTTAATTAGGAGAAAAAGAATAAAAATTACCTTTATCAGAAGAAGAAAGGCCATGAAAGAAGAAAGAAGCAGCAACCAACACTCTCCACCACCCAATTAGCCTTCCAACTGACTTACTCATTTTTGTTAAAATCTTTTCAAGCAACTTTATCTATAATAGTAACACTCGAAATCAACTAACAAGAATTAGAAGTTTTTAGTGTATATTACTTAAATTGCATGACTAATAACTGAACTTATTATATACTACGAGAAGAATACACTATGAATAAAATATAACTAGACAGTCCAAATATAGTAACTAATTAACGATCAATTTGGACGCCTAAAAATACTACCCCACTACAAAGATGATACAAAATATATATAAATATATATACCAAAGTTTGTAAAACCCTCCCAAAAATTTAAGGCAAATATTTCGAAACTATATTATAACACTTGTAATTTAGAAAAAAATTCACAACATATTTATGCGTGAATATATAAAATATTTTTAGTAAGTGTGACAACTTACACAACGTGGAGTATATGGATACCGATCGAATTTCAAGGTTTTTTTTTTTTTTTTTTCTTGGGGGGGGGAGGTGAGATAGAGAGAGTAGAATTAGCAAAATATTTGAACAAACATACACACCCCCTCTCTCTTTTTGTCCCTCTCAAAGAGTCACAATTTTAGAGGTTGATAGGAGAGAGAGAAAGAGCAATGCTTAATGCTTAGGTGGTGGATTAAAATTGATTGTTGCAACTAATTTTGGAGACATTAATTGTTAAGTTTGTACTTGGTAGTTTAGGTTTGAGTACAAGGTATCTATAATAAATATTTTACTACTCAAGTATTTGACACTGAGAAAGTACAAATTTTGCAGTGTACTTAAATTGGGTTAACTTTATGTTGCAACATAAGAGATAGATTTAGAAGTAAATCTCTATTTTGTTTTCAAGCAACATTAACATCTAACACCATGAATAACTGACGCAGTGGTAAGAGAAATTGATCATGTAATGAGATGAAAAATAATGACAGAGTATGTAAATATCTTTCAGCGATAAATATATGCTATATAGATTCAATAATTGACTACTTAATCAGTTAGTTAATGAAGGTCAAAAATCTATTTTGAAAAGACATCATTTCTTATCATGTTTAGATAATCTATCGACCTATTTGAGTTGTTCAACGTTTAAAACTTGTTCCTCATGAATGAACGTGAGATCTCTCTTGAATAGGATGTCTAACCCGAGGTTTGTATTTATATCCAACCCAAAAACAAGGGTGAAGAAAACCATCTATATCATTGTCATCTTTGATCAATCTAACATTTTCTTTCTTCTTTAGTCTTTTCTTTGCCTCCTCTAGAGTCATCACAAATGATTATATTCGATCACACAATGACACAAAGGGCATAACTAAATATGAGTTATTGGCCACAAATATGGAAATGTTAATATGTTATACATACTGTAATATGCTTAAAGTCAGTTTTTATAATTTTGCTGCCAAATTAGGTATATTTATATGTTATTAATTGTGATGAATTTTGGTGAATTAATTGTTGGAAATGGATGTATATGAGCACGATATTCACAAATTTTATAGTTGCTGGCGTTACAAATAGGCATGTCAAGAAACTCTCATGGAGTGGATAACCCCAACTAACTTTATTACTCATTTATGAATTATGCCAAAACTGTACCTAAATTTGGATCAACTCTTCATAACTCGATTCCAACCAATTCAAATAAATTTTTTTGATTGAAATTTTCTAGTAAATCAACACCACTCAAATCAAATTATAAAAAAAAAAAAAAAAAAAAATCAAATTAACGTGCATTATAAAATATACCAAACTATAAACAAAAGAAACAATTTAATTGTGAGACAATATTTATGTGTGTTATGAACCAAACTAAAGTTAGCTTTCTATTGAAAGAGAAAGTGTAAAGTTTTGAGCGTATGATAGAATTTTCTTCCCTTTTTTATTGCCTCATTTGTTATCGGGAATAACACATTTATTTTCCCTTTCTGATTGCGTCATTTTATTTGTTTTTGGGAGTAATAAAATATACGTAGTTTTACCTCTGTTACAAAATAGTTGCATCAATATACGTTCGACACTAAAAAAAAATAGGTACTTCGAGTACATTTGCTAGACAACCACGAGTACACACAAATGCTTTTCTACTAAACTAGCACTGGTTTCAACCATCAGGCCCATATTTATCACTAAGCTGTCGAGACAGAGGACAATAGAGTTCTAGATTAACCACTAAACAGAACATGAAGTGTACAGCCTCAAAAAGACTGTTCTTCCCCAATTTCGTACAAACAATTGATTTTAAAATAAATCAATACATTGATTCTGTGCTACATAACTAACATCACATTTCAAGTATTGGAAACTTGCACGATTTACACATGTACGAGTTATCAAGAATATGCGTATTCACCCCAATTTCCCACGGTACTATTAAGTACTCATCACTGTTATCAAATATTGGAAAATTTCATGTAATTAAATTTCAAAAAAGCTGCACAGAAATCATGCAGAAAGTGGCGAATTACAAACATTATTACTGCCCACAGCAAACCACCTCAAGTATTTAGCTAATTGAGGGCAAACTAACAAATAGGCCTATCTTGCCCTACAATATACAGCAAGAACTGAGAAAAATCAAAATTTTAAATACCACCAAAAAATTTGAGAGTTAGGAACAGATGCAGAAGATGCTTAGGACTGTAATAATCTAGTGCTACTGAAAAGACCGATCAGTACAGGGAGTTGTAGGTGTAGCAAGTAGCAACTATGCAGCCAATGCAGATGAATAAAGAAGGAAGAAGAGTCAAATTCAATAGAGTACTTTGACCCAAGAGCCCGATCAGGGTGATTGTGCCATCGGCAACCACTCTTGCCAGAGTTCCAGCTTCCGTTGATAATAATCCACCATTGTATGTTCCACGTGAGAGTCTTGATGACATAACCCGAGAGAGGAGTGACAGGTTGACCCCTAAAGATCCAAAGTTTATTGAGTTTCAAGAGAAAAGCCATGAAAGTTTATAAATATAATTAAATCAAAAATAAAGGCAGATAAAAGCAATTGTTAGGGAGAAAGAGCTTGCAATGATTCATCAAAATATTAACTTATCAGGTTATTCTACCTCCGTCCAGTATAAAAGACTTGCAAAAATTAAGCAACAAGAGAGGATACATCTTAATCAATAAAAAGCTATACAAATTCTTAAAGTCTAGATGACTAAATCCTGTTTCTAAGTGGTAATTAACAAGAACAACAGGGAATGATTAGTAACCAAATAATGCCAATTGTAAAATGAAGCTTGTATTTCAACATTTTAGGAAATTAAAAGCAGTCAGCATTAATATGAGAGGTCCCCAATTCTCCATTTAAGCCAAAGTTAAGGCTGTCTCTACCACCATAAAAATTTCACAAAAAGACAACTTTTAATGACTGCCAAATGATTTTGCAATATGCTTCCAATTTATCAGAAAATGACTATCTAATCTACTACGGAGTACTTCGTACTAGTTTATGAAATATTTACAGCTGTTCATTCTAAGGCATATCAAGCTGACCGAATATACTGATGCCTAAGGTCTAACAAAATAAATTTGTTTAAAATCGTATAATTTTAAGCTACATGCAGATTATTGTGCGTTCATTAGTAGGAGTATCATTTACCAAGGTTAACTCTCCTTGTTCAGTTAAAATCCTACATGCATCTCATAGCTCAACATCAAGCATACAATACCCTCCTAATTTCCTTAAACAAAAGACAAATTATATCAGGAGAGAAAATGTTAATACTACCAAACCATTAAATCACAAAATAGACTACTCTCAGGGTTCAGGAACAAAAAAAAAAAAAAAAAAAAAAAAAAAAATGTGACATATATAGCAGTAATCCCTTGGCTGTTTGCTTTATTAGATCCCTCCTAAATCTATAAGGTTCCACATGGATGCTGGTCAGTTATGCCAACTCTCCGTTCCAGTACAGTAAACTTAAAATTCAGGAAACTAATTGAAATTACAGTTTACTGTATGGATATATGTAGTAATAAGAAACCTTACCCTCAAGAACTTCAGCAGAGACAAACATGATCAAGCCTGAACAGACATATTGGGGCACAGTATACGGAATTATTAAGTTGAAGCTTAGCACGATGCCAATGCAAACCATAATCTCAGACGCCAATAAAATTTGCCTGCAACCAGATACAAGTGTCAAAATATAAAAAAAAAAATCAGCTACTACTGGCAAACAGGAATAGCTTATCAATAAGACAGCTAACTTGCTCCAAACTTCTTTCGATCTTAACTTCCTTTAAAAGGTAATTTTAATTTAAAGTCAATGTGCTAATAGAAAAATCTTTTTAAGCTATTGAACAATTTGCGATACAAAGGAACACCTAAGAAAAGCTGCCAGTTGAAGTGGTGACTTTATTTATTAATCTCAATTTTATCCACTCTTTTAAATCCTCCTTGGGCAACAAAATTTGACAGCTTGAACACACTAAATTTTATGTGCTCCCATTGGAAGACATCATATTTTTATACCAAATTATGAGGATAATCAAGAACAATTACCTCTCCTGAAACATGTTACTGATGTAGCTCCCAACAATAATATTCACGGGAAGTACTGTCAGTCCAAGGCAGGCAAGGAAAATAGACACTGAGCTTGTAGACCAACTAAAGTAGTATGTCGTAACAACACTAGATTCTGAAAGTAATATCTCCATTGCATACTTAAGCATAAAATAAATCAATAATTGGACCTGAAAACATCAGAAAGGAAAATGCAAAGTCAGTAACAGAAAAACTTTAAGACAGATGATTGTTGTTACAGTTTCTATATACTCCACCCATTCATATAAATAGACAATTTACCATTGATCATGTAATCCTAGAATATTTTTACGAAAACATATAATATATATATAAAAATAACAAAAACTTGACGAAAACGTCCTACCATGATCTCTTTCGTTAGGAAAGTAGAATGTAACGAAAGGAGATGATGGCGAAACCAATCAAGCACAAAATGCTTCTTAAAAGAGCTACAGAATTCAAAGACTTAATAATATTTTCATGGAGATTTAAACAATGAATCAACAAGGATTGAGATAAATTATTATAATAAAAAAAAACTCTGTAACTAAAATAGAAATTTCATCCCTTCATATTTGTTTTCTCATATAATCATGATGGTCACAAACAGGGGTAAACAGGTAATCAAATGGACTCAAAAAATCTTTATTTTCTTCCTGAATGTAGAGATCACCCAGAAAAGAAACAAATAAAAGGAATTGTGAATTGTGATATTGTCAACCCCCATATCAGAAACAGAAGCTTCCTATATTACTGTGTTTAACTAGTTCCTATATGGCTTCCTGAATCCTGAAGGTGGAACATTAGATAACACTGTAACTTATATTTCTATGTTAAATGTGCAATAAAAAAATATATTAGATGTTACAGATGCCTGTCTTATATAAAGACATATCTAGCCATTATATCTACCAGTAAAAGGCTTCTGGGATGTTTGACCATCACCATAATAACCGAAGAACCAAATTTCTTCAACTTAGAATGAAATACACTTCAAGGCACATTTCTACTCAGCAATCAAATCACAAGCAAAACTCTATTTCTATCATCAGCACTTGCAGTGAGAAAGTTCTAAAGATTTTTGGCCCAGTATTTGCTATTTTTTTTTAGTCTTGATGACAAAAATTTTAATCATCTTTAGCCGGTTGACCCAGCTATAAGCTTATAATCAATATCAGAATGCTTTTCCTTTAGTTAACAGCACAAAGACCTAGGCCTACCCAACCAGATTATAA